CAGTAATTAAGGATTTGGAACTGCAGCTCAGAATCAAGGCTTGGTTTCCTCTCCTGACCTCCTCTGAAATGTGAGGGTGGTAAAAGTAAAGGGAACACCCAGGTGGCTGAGCCTGTCAGCAACATGAGGAATGTGGCTTCAGTAAAAATGAAAAGAAAAACCTCAGGCCGCTGACTTTTACACAGAAGGCACTGGTTCCAAAAGAACTGACTCACCACACAGGTGTCCGTTTGGGTGAGAAAGGAAACCGTGCCAGTGGTCAGGTCCAGCTCCAAAAGAAATCTAGTTCTCCAAACAAAATGAACACTCATCGGTACAATGAGCGTCAAGTATGTTTTTGCAGGAGATTCCCAGATGGCTTCCATCACAGGGCTTCCTAAAGAGTTGGCCTTACCACCCTCATCGAATGTGGCAAAAGATGCCATGATCTTGAGAATTAAGGGCTTTTCAGCAATGGCCCTCACAACCAAAATCAAAGGGTGCTTTCTTTAGACCACCTCTGCGACACGTCAGCGAGAGGGTGGCCAAAGGATCACTCACCTCAGCACTAGCAATGCAAGGCCTGTGGATGGAACAAAGGCAAATGAGGAGAAAACCTTCACTGGCTTGAATACATACAGAAAGTAGACTAGATCAGGGGTCCCCGACCCCCGGTCTGTGGCCCAGTGGTAGTCCGTGACCTTGGCAGGACTGGGCCACAGAGACAGATCTCTCGCCCGCCCACATGGATTCCCCCTACGCACGCCCACATGCACACATGGCCCACCAACCCACATGCACACATGGCACACCCACCCACATGCACAGGTGCCCCACCCATCCACCCACCCGCATGGGTGCCCCACCTACCTGCCCACCCACGAGCACACCTTGCCCACCTGCGCATGTATAAGCATGTGCCCTGCTCACCCGTGAGCATGCCATGCCCACCCAAAAGTGGGTGGGTGGGTGCCCTGCCCCCTTGCACATGGACCCCACCCCCCAACTGGTCCACAGTTTGGAAAAGGTTGGGGACCACTGGACCAACCATAAAGGAAAGCAGCATGAAGTCACTGAGTTGATCTCAGTCTCTCACACATTTTGGCCATGTGCTGTATGTCATGCTTATATAATTATTCACATACACATAAGCTCATGAGACCCTTCATGCTTATATAATTATTCACATACACATCAGCTCATGCTTTGGGTAACTGATGTGGTGGATCAGCACCCACCACACTCAGGAATACCAGCCTGGGTCTCTTCCCGTATCATGTGCTGCTGCCTGCTATCCTCCATACTCCCTTTCCCTTCCTATAGGAGGGAAAATCTTTTTAAAAAACTACAGTACCTCTTTGGTAAAGTGATAGTGGCAGAACTCCTTGAAAGTTACAACCAATGCCTTTGGAGATCTTGTACCAATATCAATCTAATCTCCTTTACTGTGGGGGAAGAGACTTACTGAGAGAATGAGACATGGGGGAAGATCTAAGCTCAACAACAGTGTGATTCAGTCATGGAAGTACTGCCATGCCCTCCAGCTTCATGTGTTCCTTTGGACCTATGAACTGAACCTGTAGGCCTATTAACTCAACTGTTGAAAAGTGAGTCAACCCTTATGTCAATTCCACTGACTCACAGGCTGAAATCTGGTTGCATAGCTCCTTGTGAACAATGGGGATGAGAACAGCAGCAGCAGCAGAGGTGAATTGCCACTGATTAAAGGCAATTTGGTACATGCAACTTGTATACAACGCAGCAAAGTCATGTAAACTGAAAAAGCTCCAAAGGAAGTCTTTAGTCAGTAGGGGTTGCTGATAAGCCTTACCCAGAAAAAAATGAGCCAGGAAGCTGTAAATTGCAGGGTGTATTGGCCAATTTGTCTATATTCAATGGTGCAAAAATCAACTGTTGTTGTTGTTTAGTTGTTAAGTTGTGTCCGACTCTTTGTGACCCCATGGACCAGAGCACGCCAGGCCCTCCTGTCTTCCACACTGCCTCTCAGAGTTTGGTCAAATTCATGTTGGTAGCTTCGGTGACACTGTCCAACCATCTCGTCCTCTATCGTCCCCTTTTCCACTTGCCTTCACACTTTCCTAACATCAGGGTCTTTTCCAGGGAGTCTTCACTAGGGAGTCTTCTCTACCTATGATTTTAACTTCTCTTTCATTTTCAGGTCCAAAACATGGCAGCACCTCCAAAAAAGTTCATTGTGGAAGAGCATAGGATCATAATCAAGTTCCTGTTTCTCCAAGGGAAAGATGCAAAGCAGATCCATGATGAAATGTCACAAACTATGGGTGACCGTGGCCCTTCATCTGCAACAGTTAAACGTTGGGTTGTCAATTTTAAAACTGGTCATTTCGGTGTTGAAAGTAAGAAACCCAGTGGAAGGCCTGTCTCTGTCTCTGTGCCTGCAAATATGAAAGCCATCCATGACATGATCATAGAGGACCGCTGAATATCAGCCCAAAGTATTGCTACATATCTGGGAATATCACGTGAGAGAGTTGGTGCCATTATCCACAATAACTTGGAAATGAAAAAGCTGGCAGCAAAGTGGATCCCCAAACTTTTGACAGTGGTTCCCCCAGGCCAAAGAAGTTCTGAATGCAAAAGTCGGTGCAGAAGCAAATGGCAACAATTTTGGGGGGATAAGAAGGGAGTTCTGCTGGTGGACTACCTCCAACAGGGGTCAAGCATCAATGCAAAATATTACTGTGCTTTATTGATGAAGTTGAGTCAAAACATCAAGGAAAAACGTCAAGGAAAGCTCTCTAAAAGTGTCATCGTGTTGCAAGACAACGCCTTGTCACACACTGCAGGTGAAACAATGGCAAAACTGACCTCCCTAGGCTTTCAATTAATGCCCCATCCACCCTATTCTTCCAATCTGGCTCCTTCTGACTATCATCTGTTCCCCAAACTCAAGAAACACCTAATGGGACAATGATTTGGAAGTGTTCTGGAGGTAACTAATGCTACAAATGAGTGGTTACACCAGCAGTTGGAAGAATTTTATTTGCAGGGACTTAAAAAGCTGCAGGACATATGTCACAAGTGCGTTGACTTCCTGGGAGAAAATGTAGAATAGTGTCACAGTTACAGCTTCCTAGCTCAATTTTTTTTCTGGGTAAGGCTCAAGTTTGCCGCTGCCAACAATGTCATCCCTTTGGCGTCTGTGGAGCTGTGCAATAGGATTTCAGCCACCATCTACCTCAGTTAGGAGCCTCCATTCTATTCAGGCTACTGATTTGGGGGGATAGGAAGGTATGTACAGTCTTGCTGCCCCATCAACATGGATCATTTCTGTACAAAGGAGCAGGGCTTCTCAGAGTGAAGATTTGAAATTCTCTTCCACTCTTTCAGCACTATTCTTTTTGTCTCTTGCAGTAGTTATCAGCACCAAAATATCTACCTATTTCTGAACACAATTTAATTTAAAATACTCATTTCTGCATGCATTTTAGCGTATTATTTGAACCAAAAACTATTTTGCAAAATTTGAGAAAGTGCAAAATCTGAAGCTTAATTGTGGTTCAGTTTATATATTCATGCAAGAAATATAAATCAGGGCACTGCACTTAAGAACAAGGGTCAGCCAAAATCCCAGAACATCCTTAAAACCATAACACAGAGATTATGACTTCAGTATTATGTTTTGTTAAAGTTGTTTTGTTTTTTTAATCTACAAGAAAAACACCACTAGTGTTAAGAATTGTATTGAGTTAAAAAGCTGGCTTGCACTACAATGGTGTTCATTAAAATCTTTTAGGTAGCTAAGGTAGGTGTAGTGTTCACCCTGCTCATGAATATTTATTTTGAGATTTGCATGCACCAATAGGAGTTGGTGGAGGCGGAGTTAAGCTGGGGAAAGCAAAGGAGAGAGAGAGAAAGAAAGAAGGGGGAGGAGATTAGAAGAAAAGAAGGTTTTAGATGAGAGTTAACAACATTGACTGTATTTTTATTACTTGTAACAATAAACCAGTGGTCAGGGAACGGGTAAATTACCCCAAATGGGGTAAAAATGAAAATCCTGGGGGTAATGAGGACACTTACGGCAGGCATTTTACCCCCAGGCATTTTATTTCCAACAATTCTGTGTGTAGGTGGGCGTTCGGTTGCAGGGAGAGCGAGCCCTGGCAAGGAACTGCACAGGGCACCTGCCTGCCCTCCTCACCTCCAAAGTGGGATGGGGAGGGCGGCGCACCAGGCCAGCTGGACTCTTTGCCCGGCGGAGCCCTGGCCATTGCTCTCCTTCCTGCCTGCGCCCACCTGCCCGGTGGGCCGGCGAGGAGGCCCCCTTCCCAGCCAGCCTCACCTGAGCTCATGGCCAGTGGACCTGCTGGCCCTGTGGTGCCCACCTCCCCTCTCCAAGGACATGCTTTCCCAGCAGTGTGACAGCTCCAGATTGGCTGCCTGGACGGTGGCCACAGGTCCTGGGTCAGCACTGGAGGGGCGGGGGTCGGCCGCGGATGGCAAGAGCCAAGGGGGTAAAAGGTAAAAAAATTCCCTGACCCCTGCAATAAACAATTTCTACTTGGTTTTTAAATGATACGTTGAGACAGCTGACACAACAAGAACATGGAATTTAGCAAGCATTCTTTCTATCCCAAAGTTGCTCAGAGAAAAGATGCGATGTGAAGGTGGCAAATTAACAGACTTGGAGCAATGTTAAATTGCTCCTTGAACATCTCATATACCTTGAAAACTGTTCTTAGGATCAGAAATGACTTGAGGGCAATAACAATAACATAACATTACCATAAAGCTGTTTCTTGGTTTGTTCGGGTTTTTGAGACTCACTCACCCATTGGTTTCTGCTTAATCACTAAAGCGTTACATTACTACTAACACTGCAGAGTTTCTAAAGAAGCAGCTGTTGTTAGAAGGAAACTCTGAGGTATCATTGCAAATGGCCAGGGATTGTACAAAATAACCACGTTACTGCTTTTTAAAAATGTTAAGTGGCAGTATAACGTCTTCCTAACTTGCTTGTTTTAAAGGCAAATATTTACCAAGATCCTTAATGAGTGATAACGCTTCCCATGATATAAATGCTCCGCCTCCATCATCCATGGCTCCTTGCCCCACATCCCAGCTGTCCAGATGTCCACTCACCAGTACAACCTTAAAAAAATAATAAAGAAAGAATATTTACATGAACAGCTGGACTGGAAAGGTCTTATTCCCAATGATTTGTCTGCAGCAGTGGTTCCCAGACTTAATTAACCCAGGTGTTCTTGGACTGCAGTTCCCAGAAGCCTTCACCACCAGCTGTGCTAGCCGGGGTTTCTGGGAGTTGCAGTCTCAGAATACCTGGGCTACCCGAGGTTGGGACCACTGGCCTACAGTTTAATATTTTCAAAAGATGTAACAGCTGTAATCTTAACCATGACTGTACGTAGTGAAAAACGTACATCTCTCTCTCTCTGTCTCTCTGTCTCTCTCTTCTAATGATCAGAAAAGATACCAATAAATTTTGCTCCTGTGTTGTGCCTAGACTGATCCCTCCAACACTTGTTCAGACTAAGGCATCAGTTAACTTTGCCCTTAGATGTCTGCTTTTAAAATTACTCTCAGAGAGATTGGTTGTTCCAGCAGAATGATGGGAATGTAATGCGATCGATGTTTCCTTATGGCATACAATATGGTTATGTCCAGTGGTGACTTCCTTCTGCTTGAATATAATCCAGCATATTGATTTTACATCAGAAATTTTTGATATTTAGAGAGAGACCTGTACTTTTTAAGCACTGTTTCTGTGAGATGGAGCTTAATTGATGGTCAATGTGGTCATTTTCTTACCGTAGTTAGAAGACTCATACACCAAGGTTGGAAAGAGACATACTGTATTTTCCATCCATTGCTTAGTAGTCAGAAGACTATTCATTTTGCTACACAAGGATCTCTATTGCACCAATGCTAAATGCAAGCAAAACCTCTTTGCTCTCCCACCATGGAACAATGAGGCAAGATGCAGGTGATGGGTTAAACTAGGGCCACACTTTATTGAATAAACATGTCAGCAACTTTTGGCATCAGAGCCAGAGGCCTGCGGTAGTGCAGAATCGGGTTTGGTGCCAAAGGTCTCACTGGACCCCCTCACTAACCTTATACAGGCAAGTCCCATGCCCAATTGTCGCGCTGTCCTCAAGACAGCATGACCCCAGCTGGTGTAATTTCAAGGCCCCCTCCCAGGCCTGTAAGTATTGAATAAACATGTCAGCAACTTTTGGCATCAGAGCCAGAGGCCTGCGGTAGTGCAGAATCGGGTTTGGTGCCAAAGGTCTCACTGGACCCCCTCACTAACCTTATACAGGCAAGTCCCATGCCCAATTGTCGCGCTGTCCTCAAGACAGCATGACCCCAGCTGGTGTAATTTCAAGGCCCCCTCCCAGGCCTGTAAGTCCCCTCTCTTTGGCAGCCCTCAGCCCAGGGAGGGCCACAGCAGGTCTTCCCTCCCGGCACTGTAACCTCACGACCCACTGCGCCTTGAGATCGGACATGCAATCCCCTGCATTGGCCCCCAATAGGACGACCAGTCAGACTCACACTCAGTCAGACTCACCCTGGATTAAGGGAGAGAGGGTGGGTGGGCCGAAAGCCTCCGAAAGAGGCTGGATACATGGGGGAGCGTTCCTTTATGGACGCTCCCCCTCCCCCGGGTAGCGGGCGCGATTCTCGCATCTCGTGCTATTCCGTGGGGGAAGGCAAAGGAGGTCTGCCATAGCGATGTGTGCCGGTGGACCCGACATTTAAAACATACATTTGGCTTATATATGCCCATGATTGGAGTTCGATTGAGAGCATATTATCCTACTGTCTCTGTGTATGGTTCACGAGCTGCACAGTGGCAGAGAAAAAGGCAATTCAAAGGGTGATTAAGACGGCCCAAAACATCATTGGCTGTTCACTCCTCTCTTTGGAAGAATTGTATAAGAACAGATGTAAGAGGAAGATATCTAACATACTGAAAGACTCCTCTCATCCGGGATATCAGCTCTTTAAACTATTACCATCAGGAAGGAGATTCAGGGTATTGAAAGCAAGGACAAGCAGATTCAAGAACAGTTTTTACCCAAGTGCAGTATTGAGTTTAAATGCGGGGCCATAGGTTTTTGGTGGAATTTTAATTGCTGAGAGAAAACGGGGTATCTATATTTGGATGGTGAAAGTTGTGTATATTTTAACTTTTTTTTTGTAGTGTTGTCCAGTTTTACCTTGGGGAAGAGCACCTCATTTCGTTGCACCCACTTGTGAGCGCAATGACAAATAAATTTCTTATGTCTTATGTCTTATGTCTTATGATTATATTCCATATATTATCTATATATATTCTTTTCTTTCCTTCTTTCTTCTCCTCCCTCCATATATACAGTATACGTATAATGTTTAAACTCCAATTCTCTTTTTAAAAATCATCTTTGTTGTTAGGCTGATCTCATAGGAAGCAGAAATATGATAATATTGGGGCCACTAAGAGCCAAAATTCTATACAGCTGTAGTTTGTCTTACCCCTTCCATGAGGATGGGTAAAATAACCCTCCGTATTTCGGGACCAACGATAACCGGCAAGGACACAAGCAATCTTGGGATGCCCTTATACTACTCTCTTTTTCATAGTCAACACAAGCATAAAGGCTTCCAGGTAAAAACTCCCAGCATGCTCAGAGCATGGGTAGTGAGATTTGCCAGTATTGGTTAACTGGGATCAGGCAAGTAAACATTGGAGCAAGCCCCAACACCATTGTTCCTTTGCGACCAGGTAAGTGGTTATGAGGTTAGCAAGGCACACAAATCTAGCAAAAGATCATTTCTAGGGTTCTCTCCAGATTTTGAAAATAGTGGTCTTTGAAGGCAGCCAGTTTCCCAGTTAGATTAGCAATAGATGTCTGCACCCATCAGAACCTTGCAATTTAGTACTAATTTACTGGAAAAAAGGGTGTGTGGGAGGGGAGACCCAGCAGTTAAAATCATGACAAAAGTTTCTAAAGGGTTATCATATTTATTTGTTTATTTGTTTGTTTGTTTGTTTGTTTATTTATTTATTTATTTATTTATTTATTTATTTATTTATTTATTTATTTATTTATTTATTTATTTATTTATTTATTTATTTATTTATATGCCGCCCACTCTACCCAGAGGTCTCTGGGCGGGGTTTCTTCGAATTTGTTGAAAGATTTTTGGTCTTTAAAAATGCTGGGGGATTTTTGAGAAAAGAA